CAAACCTCATTGGTTCCTTTTGAAGCTCAAACGTGCTGTGTAACATGAGACTGAACCTCATTGGTTCCTGCTGAAGCTCAAACGTGCTGTGTAACACGAGACTGAACCTCATTGGTTCCTGCTGAAGCTCAAACACGAGACTGAACCTCATTGGTTCCTGCTGAAGCTCAAACGTGCTGTGTAACACGAGACTGAACCTCAATGGTTCCTGCTGAAGCTCAAACACAAGACTGAACCTCATTGGTTCCTGCTGAAGCTCAAACGTGCTGTGTAACACAAGACTGAACCTCATTGGTTCCTGCTGAAGCTCAAACGTGCTGTGTAACACGAGACTGAACCTCATTGGTTCCTGCTGAAGCTCAAACACGAGACTGAACCTCATTGGTTCCTGCTGAAGCTCAAACGTGCTGTGTAACACAAGACTGAACCTCATTGGTTCCTGCTGAAGCTCAAACGTGCTGCGTAACACGAGACTGAACCTCACTGGTTCCTGCTGAAGCTCAAACGTGCTGTGTAACACGAGACTGAACCTCATTGGTTCCTGCTGAAGCTCAAACGTGCTGTGTAACACGAGACTGAACCTCATTGGTTCCTGCTGACGCTCAAACACGAGACTGAACCTCATTGGTTCTTGCTGAAGCTCAAACGTGCTGTGTAATACAAGACTGAACCTCATTGGTTCCTGCTGAAGCTCAAACGTGCTGCGTAACACGTGAATGAACGTCATTGGTTCTTGCTGAAGCTCAAACGTGCTGCGTAACACGAGACTAAACCTCATTGGTTCCTGCTGAAGCTCAAACGTGCTGCGTAACACAAGACTGAACCTCATTGGTTATCGCACGTCAAGCAAACATGCTTGAACTTCCGTTTACCACAACTGATGTGTGCGTTGATGAATGCTTATATGTGATAAAAAGACTAAATTCAATCGGTTCATCATATAAAGCGATCAAGTCTGTTCAGAAAATTTGGCTTAAAGTCCCACTCCGATCATATTTTGAGCTATTTTTAAACATTCCCAGTGGTCTTTAAATTATGATTATGCCATTTTTAGCCAAAATCACAAAACCTGTGCCGTTTTCTGGGACTTCGCTTCAGCAGAGCGGTAGTAGCTCATTAGCAATTCGCCTCTGCGTTGTGGGCGGAGCCGTTGGCACGAAGACGACCCTCCCCCTGCCCGTTGCTGAGAGCTCTGTCTCTCCCGCTAGCTTACACCCCCAATACCGGTGGGGCAACAGTATTATATACACGTTAATTATTATTATCCGAAGTTAATCAAAGTTATCACCGATCATTATTTCACTCCAAGACGTCGCGTGTGGAGACGCCCAGTGGAGTTACTACGTCACAACTCCAGTCGATTTTAGCCGGCATTTTAGCGTCTGCTACTGATTCACAGCCATTTGAATGTAGAAATACTCAGAAATACAACTTTGAGCTTATTTTTCTCAAGATATGTCCTCTAACATCAGAAAAATGCCACAAGAACATGTTAACACCTAGAAAACATTATTTTCATCGGAGTGGGTCTTTGAACCATTCATATGGATTAGTTTTACGATTTCTTTATGAGCTTTTTGAAGCATCAAAGTGGTTGCGTAGCTGTATGTGGAGGGACAGAAAGCTCTCAAATTTCATCAAAAAGATCTTCATTTGTTTTCAGAAGATGAACCAAAGTCTTAAAGGTTTGGAACGACATAAGGGTTAGTAATTAATGACAGAATTTCCATTTTACGGTGAACTATCTTTAAACTCTTTTATTTCAGAAGATCAAGGAAAATTTTATTTGCCATTTTATGATCCATTTAAACATTCCATTTCTGTGCATGAGTTTATTGGTGTTTGATTTGTTTTGGCTTCGTTTGCATGTCCCCAATAACCCTGAAACAGATGAGACGCAAAGAAAAAAATGTAATACTGTATGTAAAATGCCATGTAGGAGTGATTCAAGCCGATAGTTCATCTCATACGGCTCTTGCAGCTGTCTAAATGGACAACATCTGAACCCAATAAACTCTATAAAGCGCAGACACAGACTTCATTTGTGGAAGATAACTTTTTTATTATTTTTTTTAATCAGGTTTAACCTGTGGGACTCTGTGGGGTTGCATTTTATCCACTTTAGCTAAATAAACCAACTGTGAATTTACTTTTTCCTTAGATCTTGCATCTCTCTAGACAGCTACGTTTTGGAGACTCGAGGCTTTTTGCCCTAAAACGACTTGACCTGATTTTTCCTCAGTAACCAAATCCACTGGATAAACTCCAGGCTTAGCATTCATTTTTTGTAAATGGATTTTTTTTTTAATATAAAATGTATTAGATCACCATGTTCATTTGAGTACAATTGGAGTATTATAGTTCAGAGACCAATTGTTATCACCTGCTACAATCACAGTGTTTGAACAAAACAAAAAAGTCTGAATTGAAAGGAAAACAAATGTTTTTACATGAGCGCACAGGGTAATTACAAAGCTTTTATATAACCTCTCATTTCAGAAATACTATTTTGGGTATATAAAAACAAAAAGTGCTTTGAGCTTTGGAAAAAAACTGATGAGACGGGCAATTTGTCATGCCAATACTTGTTTTCAAAACACTGAGGTTACTATTGCTCATGTTTCCCACAGTTTCTCCTGCAGCTTCTTGATTCTCCCACTAAACTTTCCCCTCATATGATGCTACAATGACTCTGGCTGGAAAAGCCTCTTTTGTTTCGGGTTTTGGTTGTTTTAGGTCTGCCTAAGAGGCACACTCTTTAAAAAAAGGGTTCCTTGATGTTCTATATAGAACACTGTGGTTCTGTACTTGGCCAATAGAACCTTTTACCAAAACAATGGTTCCATGTAGAATCCTTGGAGAGCAAAGAACCTGTTTTATTAAAATGATTCTGTCATTCCTGTTTTATGATAAGTGTAAACTAAAGATTAGCCTGCACAATAATTATAGGCCTACACAACACATTCACAAAGCTTTTTGAGTCAAGAAGACCCAGGAGAATGACTGCTGTAGTCAAAAACAAGACTCAACAAATATGAATATCTAGTCAATGTATCTGAGCTTTCTTTATGCAAGCTTGTACATTAGCATGAAACTTATACTTCCTAATACATTATAGTTTGCCTTTTTGACGAACCATTTTATGAAAACAATTAACTAACCAGGTGTTTTATTTGTTTTGTATACCATATTGTGATGGTTTTAATCTAACCCGAAGGGAGCATTAAAAACAAATAATCGTAATAATATATGTCTTGCATCATCCTTGAACTCCTATTGGTGGATTTGCGAAGATGAACCTCGAGACTGACAGTTCATTTTTCAAACTGAGGAGTCCGCCATTTCTGCCCGTTCATACACTCAGGTAAGTTAAGTTTTTAAATTTTTTAAATAATTTTACTGAAATATTTATTGCAGTTAATATTTCTATTGGCTAGAGTAGCCCCTGTGTTAAATACTGATGCTAGAAGCAAAATGAGGCTATCCCCAGAGGCGTCGAATGAGACAGGGAAAACCACAGGGGGCACTGTGTCGAGCTCTGCGACGCAAAGAGGTCCACCTCCGCCTCGCCGAAGAAGCTCCAAATTTGAGCCATTGTTTGGCGGTGCAACATCCACTCCCCTGACTTGAGCTTCAGTCTCGACAGAAAGTCCGCTGCACGTTCAGGTCCCCTGGAACGTGAACTGCTCTCAGCGAAAGAAACCTGTCTTGAGCCCAAAGGAGGAGGCGGCGAGCATGCCTGTCGAGGGTGCGTGACCGCGAGCCTCCCTGGCGATTTACATGGGACACCACTGCCATGTTGTCCGTCCTGACAATGGCATGACAGCCCATCAGTGCCGGGATAAAATGATCCAGGGCCAGAGAGACGGCTTGCAACTCGAGGCAATTTGTGTGCCATGAGAGAAGCTCGCCTGTCCACACACCGCACGCCGGTCTGCCCTAGAAGACAGCACCCCAACCAGTCAAAGAGGCGTCCGTCGTGACAACCTGGCGACGGCAAACTACACCCATCTTGACCCCCTGAAGTGAAAAGGGGGAGTCTTCCCACCTCCAAAGAGCGATAAGGCAACTGCGCGACACTCTCAGCAGGCGGAAGGCAGACCAAGAAGGGCGGATGCCCCTGAGTTACATCCACCACAGGAATGGTCTCATATGAAGGAGACCCAAGGGCAGCACAGGAGAGGCTGCTGCCATGAGGCCCAGGAGCCAGTTGCACCAACAGGGCTTTACTAAGCCTGGTCCTAACTGCTAAGTAGGTCTTAGTTAAGACCAGTCTTTAGAGTTGACCTAACGTCTGTTGCACCAACCAAACTTAAGCCTAGGCATAACTACGCCTGGTTTTAGCGATGCGCGTTCCTGTGAATGGCCACGGAACTATAGCGGTTGCCTAGCAACGTGCGTTGCTGGGGTTACGTTGTAAACAATCTTCCGCTTTTTGGTTAACTTGTAGCCGTATCAATGGAGGATCAAAGAAAAAGGAAAGGAAATTTCACCGACATAAAGATACGAAAACTAATAGAGTTGTACAGTCAGCACAGACACACACTGACTGCCAAGCAATCAAACGCAATAACTAACTAAGTCGGGTGACAGCTCTTCTACAAGTTCATATATATATCTCTCCGACAGAATCGAAACCTCTCAATCATCATTGTAAATTTCCAATGGATTGTTTCTGTCCCTAATAACTCTCTCCCGTCTAATAGCCCGCTCATTGTAAAGTCTGTGTATAAGTCTTTACTGCTGAGTTATGAAGTGGTTACTATAGAAACTTGCCTAGATTTTGACTTTACGCCTGCTACTGACTAGGCGTAAGATTTACGCCTGGTCTTAGCAAGAAGAGGACTTAAGCCTGGATGGTGCAACGGTCGTAACTATTAGGTCGGACTTAGAATGTTGAGTTAAGACCCACTTACCTTAAGACCAGGCGTGAGCCCTGTTGGTGCAACTGGCCCCAGAAGCCTGTGACATATGCCCACTGCTACATGATGGCGCTATAGACCATTTCAACGGCTATTTGTAGATGGAAGGAAGTGACGTGTTTGGCCCTCAGACGTTTCCGGTTAGTTACCGCGCACATTCAAAACAACAGACGGGAGGCGTTTTTTATGGCAATTGTTCGATTATTTTCTTTTTCATTTGATAAAACATGTCAAAATTTAAATTAGGGGCGTGCTGTTCGGTTGTTGGCTGTTCTCTCAGGCCCGGAACTAACTTGCTTTCGGAAATCAAAGCGTTTAGATTTCCGAAAACCAAAAACCACCGTGACGCCTGGATTGCGGCAGTGAAGAGAGAAGGCTGGATACCAACTAGCAACTCTAGGATATGCAGCACACATTTTATCTCTGGTAAGGAACTTAAACGGCATTTGTGTCACTAAATAATTTGTATTTCTATACGTTAACTATTTAACTATGGTGAATAATTATTGAGCTAGCAGTTTGGCTCCGTCATTGTTTTCATATGTAACGTAGATAGCATGTAACGTTAAATAGCTAACGTTAGCGTTTTGATACGTTTGCAGTGAAAAAGCCAGATTTTTATTTCCGTTTCATTTCTAAATGTTCTGTGGGCTATATACTGTCTATGGCTATAATTAGTAAAGTAACGTTAGCCGTACATTAGTTATCTATAGCTATCCATTCAGCTGACAGCAGTGTATAACACTTTACAATAATGTTTTATTGTGTAACATTAGCTAACTGCGTTATTTCACAAAATATAACGATAAACATAATTTTTCATCACTTATTAAGCTTGTTTAATGTTAATTCCAACATGCACTAATGCATTAAACAATAACAGTATGGTTATTTTTTCATTGCTCATTAACCTGGTTAATTTAAACATTTACATTTAATCATTAGCAGATGCTTTTATCCAAAGCGACTTATAAATGAAGAGAGCAATAAAAGCAGTCAAATCATCTTATATTAAGTATTAAAGTAATACACTTTTATTACAAATCTGTTTTTAATTATTGTGTTTTAAAGCTTTAACCCGATTTTGCCATAGGGCACTAACAAAGCTGTACATTATGAACTTGTGAACAATTTTGCATGTAACGTTATTAGACTTGCTGTAAAATGTTAATTGTTTGTTCATGATACCTAAAATATTACGAATACAAGACCCTTTTTAAAGTGTTACAGTGCAGTATGCAGTGGTCATACTGATAGCTAGCTAGCTAGTTTATTGATGATTACATTAAAAGTGCTCATGGTCTTTATCTATCCTTAACCAGTGATGTACAAAATATATAACCTGTCCCAATAATGTTTTTCTACTTGTGTCTTTAGGAAAGCCATCAGATGATCCTCTAAATCCAGATTACATACCATCAAAGCTTCCTCACAGACCTGACACCTCCAGAAAAATGGACCGATATCAGAGGTCTCTGAGACGAGCATCAGAGGTCTCTGAGATGAGCATTGGAGTTCAGCCTACTGAGGAAGTGCAGGACATGGACATAGATGTAACACAAGTTAAGTCCTTCAATGATATGTGTGTTGGAACAGATCTCACTATGAGTGATATTGAAGATATGCAGAAACTGAACACATCTTACAAAGAGCAAGTGAGAAGCCTAGATTCAAAGGTACAAACTCTCACCTGTGAGAGGAAACAACTGAAATCTGATGTGGATTTAAACGATGATCAAATCATTCACTTCTACACTGGCCTTCGCTCATCCAAAGTGTTTTTTGCCCTTTTGACATATCTCACCACTGCTTGGAGTCCGAGAACACAGAGTCCTCCAACACCTCTCCAGTTTTACTTGGTATTAATGAAACTGAGACTTGGCCTCACTCATAAAGATCTTGCCTTCAGGTTTCATTGCAGTTGTGCAACAATCTCTGCAATATTTCACGACTGGTTGAATGTGATGACACAGCGTTTCAGCTCTCTAATTCATTGGCCTTCTAGGGAAGAGATTAAAAAAAATCTTCCTGCCCTGTTCAAAAGCCCCCCGTTCAATTCAGTGAGGTGTATCATAGACTGCAGCGAGATTTTTATTGACCGACCAACATCTCTCAGTGCAAGAACAATGACATACTCCAACTATAAGTCCCACAACACCATCAAATTCCTGGTTGGCATCAGTCCAACCGGGTCAATCACATTCCTTTCCCAGTCTTGGGGTGGTAGAGCCAGTGACAAAACAATCACAAAATCATCTGGTTTAATTGATCTTTTGGAAGAGGGAGACATTGTCATGGCTGACAGAGGGTTCAGTTTCCCTGAGTATTTTGCTGCGAAAGGAGTCCAGCTACTCATACCAGCTTCAACCCGTGGAAAGACGCAGCTTTCAGGACAAGAAGTGTCTGTGTCACGTCAAATGTCAAGGTTGAGGATTCACGTGGAAAATGCTATTGGTCGAATTAAAAAGTACTGCATTTTAAGACAAACACTCCCCATAAACTTGGTGAAGCGAAGATCAAAAGACACAGTGGCAACTGTAGATAAAATTCTTTTGGTTTGTTCTGCATTATCTAATTTGGACAAATCATTAATTCGGTAAAAAAAAATACATGAGACAATTCAAATACAAGTGGTTGAAAACCTTTTATTTTGTTATTAAATGATTGTGTACAGAATTATGTATATCTGTTGTATATAGATTTCTATTGGATTTATGTTTGGTCTTTAAATATTATTATTTTTTCTACTATCTACAATTATTAAACATTTTTTTGTTAATGAGAATATTTGTTGTCCTGCAATTGATTGAATGTATTACAATTATTAAAATAACAATTCTAACAAATTACTTGGAAGGTTGTGTATGGATTCACATTTATTTAGATTATGGTGAACACACAGAACAAAACCATTGCTCACCAGGGTGCCTTTTTAAGCCTACACATCTCAGATGAAACACCTTGTGACAGACAGAGCACTGCGTGACACATGTTTTAGACCTCCTTTTACACAAACAGGAAGTCTCTGCGATCAGAAATTGTTTCATCAGTCTGTGTGTGCAAATTTCTGTGAGAATGTGCTGTCTGTAGAAGAGGTCCAGTTTTGTTCTGATCTGAGCCCAGTACTCTTTAGAGAACTCTACTTTCTGAATGTGGCAGTCCTCTTTTGTCCAAATGACAAAGAAAGATGTTTCCAGTTCACACACTGCCATTTGCCCCTGAACTTGTGCATAGTATGCATGGTTATGTTTAAGCTCAAAGTTTTTTCCCAGACAGAAATCTTTGTTCTTGATAGCATCAGTTATGGACATATTTGCATACTTAAAGGGGCATTTTATTTCAAGTGTTGCACGTGGGCAGCACTTGCAATGGACTATTCCATCTGGGCTGGCTCCTAAATGAGGAAACTTTGGATTTACTACTAACCCTATTTCTTCTACTATCAAGCTGTCATGACAAGTCATCTGGTTTGAAGTAAATGCTTCTCTAGCTAGTTTTTCATTATTCTTTCCCCAAGCTAAGGCTGGTACATTTCTGCTGGATGTGTAGCCCATGATTTTAGATGTCACGCTAGCTTGACTTGTCTTGCTTCTTAACACTTCATTAAAGTGGCTAGCGGTGATTCTGCCCTGTCTCTGCTCAAACCACTGTTCACAAGAGGACTGCCCCAGTGTATTTTCTTGGAGGTGCTTACAATTCAGTTCATTAAAGTAAGTAGGGATGGTTTGCATGATTTTATCTAGCTCATTTTGTAGTTCATCTTGTGACAATAAACTGTGCTTCTCATCAAAAAACTGTGTGAGGGGCTTTGGCAAGTTTGTTGCATCTACAGTGCTGTCGGTACAAGGTGCGTCACCCGGAACTGCTGTGTGTGATTCCTCCCTAGAATCTGCCTCAGCTGTAGTCAGAACATCAACCCTGTCTGTGTTCTCCTGCTCTCCCTCAGATGCAGTGTCTGTATCACTACCTACAGTTATAGTGGTAAACAGTGCACAGTCTGGGATTTCATTCTGAAATCAGAATCACATTAAGTCATAGTCAAATTTATTTGTGTAGCACATCTCTCAATACAGATAATTTCCAAAAAAAAACATAAAAGAGTGAATGTATATGTTGAGGACGGTATTTGCATATCTGTATTGCAATTGGTTTACATTATTTGATAACACTTTTTAGAATATGGTTCCTTCGTTAATGAATACCTACACAGGAACAAATGAGTAACACAATATTAACAATCTAGTAGCTTATAAAAACTACTTTTCTATGACCTGGTTTGTCCTTAAAAAGTTCTTATTTGACGATTCAATCTATACAAATGCACTCATATATACTGTATGTGTATGGAAAAACATGAAATGTGTTCTTACGGTATTTATTTATTTATTTCACAGATATAGTTAGATACTTGTATGGTGACTATATCCATATATGTATTCATGTATGTGACTATATCCATGCAAACCATATAGGAACATGTGTTTTGCATATATTGTCATCAGGTTTCTGCAAATTCCTTACCTTCAATGACTTAAAAAGCATGCTTGGTGAGACCGGTGTGACTACACTGTGTAAGATGGGCTCCCTACTCTGAATTGCTCTTTGTCTGACAGGCTTGGAAAAGTCTATGTCTGCTACTGGTTTTGGATCAATCTAAAACAAAGTAGGATTATACATTTACTGCGAGTATCTACTTTTATATAAAAGCAGCAACACACCCCTTATGAAAATTAACTATGGTTATTAACCAAGTGAAAAAGAAGTCTAGTAACTATGTTTTTGTTTCGTTTTTTGATATTCATTTGTATAACCACAGTTTTATTATAAATGCCATGGTTAAACTATGGTTAGTGTTGCAAAACTATGGTTCATTTTGTGGTTACCATGGTTTAACTACAATAACCATGTTTTCTATTTGCAGTAAAACCATAGTTCATTTTCATAAGGGATGTGATTAGAATTTTTAATTTAATATGAATTAGACCAAGAACAACAACAAAAACACGTTAGCCAGAATTGAATTGCATGCACCTTCTTGTTTATTCGTGACCACATGCAGGGCTCAGATGTCACAGATGGAGCATTCAAACCTTCTCTAACACACTGTTCCACAGCAACCAGGATGGCAGCAACATGGCTACACACTTCACCTAACCTAACCACAAATATTTCCAAACGTATGAAATAATTAATTAGGCTATGCAATAGGTAATAATATAATACAACAATTCGTTTACTAGAGGATTAGCAATGTGATTTATTATTTGAATAGACATATTTACCCAGCCATGCAAGTGCAATGCCCACTAATAACCTCCCCGGTCACCTTAGCAACGAACCACGCAGAGTACGTTTTTGACAATGTCTGACTTGCTCCAACTTCGCCAAATACAAGACAAATGTCGTCCACATTGTAGGAACAAATGTTTCCAACTTTTCCACTAAGGAAATAGTTGTAAGCATCTAGGCTACGATATGCCTTGACCGCTTCTCTAGTGTATACACACTCGGTCTCAACCAGATAATGGTACACGTCTGGATACGACACTTCAGGTAAATGTTTTACGTTCTGAGTGAATAGTTGTCGCCTCAGCGTCTGATTTAAAGGATCCGGTAATTCCACGCTATCGTCTATTTGAATTTTTTTTAAATATCTTAACTGTTCTGGTTTAGCTAGACTTAAAAAGTATGCGCTAGTCATTTTGTTTTGACAGCTCCGTGGTTTAAAAATGGAGACACCGGAAGTGCTTCAGGGCCAGACATGCGCAGTAGCGTTCCAACGCATTTGTTATTGTTTACGTCCTTGAAATGGTCTATATACATGCTACATACATGGTCCGCGCCATCAGCTAATAAATTGGCGTGATTCTATACAGGTTCAGATAATCAGCATGGCCCTAAGGGCGTTCCCATTGCGTCATCGCTACGCAGCGTTGAGTGAACCTATGAAAGAGAAACATGGTTGATAAATGGTCAGTAGATGGCACATGCCTCTGGCTTCAAACTATAAACCTCATTGATGCAAAAGAAAGTTTCAGAGGTACACATGAAAATTTATAAATGTTAATTTTGTGATGTTGTGAAGTTTCAACTCACAAAGTTTCTAACTCACCTGCAAGTGCACTTTAAGGAACTTTGTTTGGCTGAAAGTGTGTAATTTGGATATACCCGGTAAGCACCTGAAGTATGACTAAGATGCTGCATGAAATGACAATGAGGTTTGGAACAGACTTGGCGAAGAACATGGAAACATCTCTAAATGAAATGGCCCCAAACATCATCAGGAGTGCAAAAGAAGGAAGTCAATCTCATTGGACCAGCAGAGGAAACAGAGGTAACAACATATATTTCCCCCCACCCAACCTATCTGTTCCATGGCCAGTGTAAAGTTGCATTGTCTGCAAAGTCAATGTAAAGGTTGTAGCTCCTATAAATTGTATGAGTGAAAACATCTATTAAAATAATGTAAGGAATAGTTTACCCAAAAATGAAAATTGTCATCATTTACTCACCTCTTGTCATTTCAAATCTGTTTGACTATCTTCTTCAAAACACAAAAGAAGATATTTTGAAGAAGGATGGTAACCGAACAACGGCAGTGCCCATTGACCTGCATTGGTTTTGTGTCCATCGCTTTAATTGATTTCTGTACCTAATGTACAATAATTTGTATCTGTTTATAGGTCTCGTTAGGAATGCTGCACTCATTTTATTGCCAGCACTATTTAAAGAAAACACCAGCTTCCTCTACTGTGTAGATAGTGTAAGTATAGAGTCTTCTGTAGTTTCATTAACATTTGATGCACTTGACTTGAATTAAAGGAACTGTTCATGCAAATATAAAAATATTAGTCCGTTTACTCACCCTTATGCCAAATTTGTAAAAATAAATTAAAATGAAATTTACCCTATAATTTACTCACTCTCTTCCTTAGTCATATAGCTTTGTACTGTTTGTACTGCTTTGTACTGTCACTGAATAGCACCCCAATTTTGACTCTCCAACACGCGCATCGATCATAACATAAATCTATACAACTCCAGGGGTTAATACTTGTCTTCTAAAGCAAAATAGTACGTTCAAATGGTACGTTAGTGAGATAAAAAGATTAAATTTGTCAAGATAGGTTGCTATAATTAGACTATGTATAGATAAGAGAATAACATTCAATGGGGTGGCACATCAGCTCCACATCAATAATTATGAGTCTTGTTGGTTCTTGCGTGTCGCGTGCCTAGCTGTCATATCTCTATTGTGTCATGAACGATTCAGTCACAAGAACGAAAGAACCAATGAGATTCAAAGTAATCAAAGTGGAGCTGACGTGGTAGCATGTTGAATGTTCTTCAGTCGTCAGTAATGTTGACATTTAAACACATTACAAAGCTAGGAAGAGCCAGGATATTATTAAATATATCTCAGATTTTGTGTTCAAGTGAAGAGACAAAGTCATACACATAGGTTGGCTTGTTGGTGAGTAAATTATGGGATAATTTTATGTCTATTTGATGACTTGTTTTACAGGAACCCAAAGGTCCTACACCAACCATAGTGTTTAACGGCTCTCCTGTTCCCCTCGAGGCTGAAAGTGTCATCATTAACATGAACATTAAGAGAGGCAGACATTGACATGACACAGGCTGTGGAATACCTGTTTGCAGTCTATTTTCTTTTCAATGTCCAATACCTGGTTGACATTAAGCACACAAGGACTTTTATTCAAAAATATATGCTTAAACTTAGACAAGAGCATGACACAAGAACGCTAATACCTGTACTAAAAATGTACAGTCAACTTGTGTAAATTGTAGTACTATGTTTTAATTGTTCATGTATTGGTTTTTTTCATCATTTCAGAGATACATGTAAAAGTGAAGTACTGTATATGTACATACAGTAGACAAGCTTATGTATGTTTATTGCAAAGTGAAAATGCTTAAATTAAATAATTCAAACTAAATGGTTGAATGTAATTAAACATCTTAAATGTAAAAATGTTTTCCTGTCTAATACAGAGTATACAGAGGTGCAATTTTAAATATGACACTAATATTTTTTTGTATAATCAATTGAATAAATTTAAACTTTTTTTAGTTTTCTGGATTGGTTATATTTTCTTATTAAATTAACTCGTTTAATAATAAAGAACCCTTAAATGGATCTATATAGAACCATCTTGGATTCAAAGAACCATTTGGGGTTCTTTTTATGGAACCCATTAAAATGGTTCTATATAGAACCACTTTGGAGTTCCAAGCGGGTGATATAACCATTTCTGGTTCTAAATAGAAGCATTTCTTTTAAGAGAGCAGTTTGTGTTTTTTGGCTCTCACATTCTTCTCATCTGTGTGCGTGATGTTTGGCTGAAATAGTTCTTGTACGTTTTTAGACCAACTTAGTTTTTTATTGCATCCGATAATAATGTATCAAGTGGCATTTTTTTTCTGAGCTAACTTTCTGAGCCATTTATACAATTATTTCTAACTAGCACATTACCTATGACTGTGATCCTCTCATGTTTGACAACCAGAAACTGCATGTCCAAATACTTTTGAATCTTTATTTGAATGGTAATCTGAATGGTATAGCTATTGTTTTATAATTTAAAACTTATTTTCTCTGAACTATTTTGCTTGAAATGTATCATTCTTTTAAATAAACGCCAATAGTTTTAATATTTTGTTGTATAATGCAATGACATTTAGACATTTTTTTAAGGGCCCAAATACTTTTTAGGGCTGATGAATATCACGGTAAATATTTTTATCTCTCTGTGTGATGTTTGGTTAGTATAACCACAAAAGACGATATGGATTTGTGCGAGGTGCACTGTTGCCAGCTCCTGAACTTCTGTCCTGTAGAATATCTCTAGCACTTGAATACAGTTAGAAGAAAAAGAAAAAATGTGTGTGTAATATAGTATATATATATATATATATATATATATATATATATACAGTATATAATCAAATAATGTTCCCATTGCAAAGTTTGCACACTGATTTATAACTATATTAGGCCTATCGCTTTTCAAAATTTGTTCTAGACATCTAATAGCCTTGATTCTTGTCAATTATTTCTGAATGGCTTTGAACAAATTGTATAGTGGGTGGTGGATTTCTCTTCATGGTCATATTTACCATAGAATGAACTATGTCACCTCACCTCACTGAACTTCTATTTACAGCAGTGTCAACATCAGCAGGTTCATTTCACAAGCACCTTCACTTTTGTTGTTTTGTACAATTCCAACCGTCCCTTGTTTAATTATAGTATGTTTTTATGTCTCTGTTTATGTTGTTAGACTGCCATAATCTTTCAAATCTGGACTTGTTCAGGTTTTCATTTGTGGTTCACTTTCAATCGAATTCCATCCGCAATCGCTGGCCCCCCCGGGGTCTCCTCATCATGTCCGAGGCCTAATGGAGGTGCACCTGGCCTGCTTGCGGAATTCCGCACACGGGGTGGAACAATGCTCAGCGGTTCTTTGTTCCCAGTGGAGCATCCGAGCACCGCGGCGCGGGCCGTGTGAAGACCTGAGGGGGGAGCGAGGGGGTTTGAGTGGGTGGGCGGGGGGGTCTGCTCTCTGAACTTACTCTGTGAAAGTGATCTCTGACCTTTGATATCCAGAGAAGAACAACAAACATGACGTTCGTGGTATGACAGATGTCTAATGTTGATAAACCGTTCAAAGACTGATTGTGCTGCTGTACATGGAATTATGCAATGTTTAGAAATGCTGCACCTTCTTTTGTCTCATTTCTTCGCATAGATCTGAGAGCTTTTATAGTCTCTCATGTTTTGTGTGTATTACAGTAACCTAAAATAACGTATGAACTGTTTCCTATTAAAATTAACTATATTTATATAGTTATTATTATTTGAGCTATTGAGCTCTATTATGTTTTAAAAATGACAAATGACAAAATGCATATGAATATATTTACTGTTATTTGTTATACCTGTTATTTGTTTGCTTAAAAATGACAAAATGTGTGTGTGTACACACACTGTATACTTTTTTCCCTCAAATTCTTTCATCATTTACTAACCCTCATGTCATTCCAAACCTATATAACTTCTTTTTTTTTCTGTGAAATACAAAAGATGGTATTTTGAAAAATATCTCTCTTATTTTTGAAATAATGGAATGAAATTCAATGTCGTTCAGGTTTGGAATGACATGAGGTTGAGTAAATAAGTTTCAAGTTTAAGTTTTTAATAATTATTTTGGGGGAACCTCCCTTGTCAAGATGCAGCGACTATAATTTCTGCATTTACATAATATGATACTAAAAATACAAAATGCTAATGACATATATTGTCATGATGAACTCCTGGCCAATTTAGATTTGCTGTATAATATGCATTGCATTCATGTCTCTCTTAATTTTAAGGCATAATGCCAGAGATCCAAATAAACAGAAGTTGTCACTGTCAGACATGATTCTTTTCTGTAGTGTTTGGTAGTAAAGCCAGCTTCTATGCAACAAGCCACATGGCAAGTGTATTTCCAGTATGAAAGAATAGTCTAGTTGAAAATCTCTGCAATATTATAACATAGCTACACGTGAAACAGTAAGCCATATGGCCACATAATCCTGATGTTTATGATCGTTTATGATTAAAATAACAATCTAGACATTCGATTTCATTTCATTGTTCAACAAACTGAGCATGATGTTTATGCAATCATTCCTAAAAGATGTGATTAAAAATCTGTATTATACATTGTAACGGTTTCCGAGAAATGTTTCTCTCTCCAGAACAGTGTAAAAAACGCCCTCCCCCATCAGAACTCGGGGTGGGCTGTAAAAAACTGACCTTGATTGAGTTTGATCATTAGTTTCAACAACAGGAGTAGCACAACATGTTCAATGGAATTAATTATCTGGGCTGGAATTTTTTCCTCCCTCGTTCTCCTCATTAGGGGTGCTGGGCCAGGCCAGAGCAATGACGTTACTGTACGTCCCCATTTTTACCTTGTTGACGGTTGCATCATACAAAAAGAGTCACGCCACTGGTTAACGGAAATGTCTAACGGATCGGAATTTACATGAGTAGTGCGTTTTGTGGGTGGGATACGTAGCCTAGCCTACTTGTGTCTAAATGAATTATCTCACTCTGTCAGTGGCCAGGCCCTGTTGAAAACATGAATCAAAGCAGGAGTCAGAGAGAGAGAGAGAGAGAGAGAGAGAGAGAGAGAGAGAGAGAGAGAGAGAGAGAGAGAGAGAGAGAGAGAGAGAGAGAGAGAGAGAGAGAGAGAGAGAGAGAGAGAGAGAGAGGGTGATTTAGTATGGTGCTTTCACTTTTGAACAAGTGAAAAAACATTACAATTTACAACAGAATCATTTTAATCTCATTTAAAAAATACTGTGTTTACTTTCAACAAATAATTTATTTTAAAACCGTATTTTGCTATAGGATTCTAAGCCATTTGTATTTAATGGGATAGAAGATTTTTTTTATCAGAAAACTGAATCAAATTAATCAAATTCCTTTGGAATCTTCCATCTCTGGCTGAATTTAAAATGGGATACTAGCACAAAAAAAGGTTCAGTGGGGTTCTATGTAGAACTCTGTGGGTTCTTGACTTAATTAAAAAAAAATATTCAACAAGCTTATAAGGAGATTTTTTTTTTTAAATGATTACATAATACTTTCATGGTTAGGTTATTTCAAAGTTTCTACTGATAAAGTATGTTTATGACCTGTTTAATTCATAAAATGTAATAAAAATAGAAAATTTAATTAAAACAAATAAATAAATTAAAACTAAATCCATAAGATTATCCCATGATGGTAACCCCTATATAGTACCTGACAGAGTTCTAGAACCTTTTCTTGTAAGAGTATACAACTCTTACTATTTATGTCATATCAGAGCAGCATGCTATATGCTATTTTGCTGAAAATGAATTATAGTAATGTACTTAGAGAAAAAAAATTCACTTTTTCATTCAAGTCATTTTACCATTAATGCATATAGAAGTCAATTAAACTAACAAGTTGTATACTTTAATAATATAATAAATGTGTAAATATACATGTACAATATAAACTTCAAATATTTAAACGTTAAACGTCCCCTCATAAAAGGGTGAATATGAATTCCCATAATTCCTAGTAGTGAGGTTGTTTAGGATATCAGTATTTCGGTCTCTGGCTGTGCAGAGATACACAGTGGCCCCATAAACTTTCCCCCAAAGGCTGTCCGGAGATCCTCACTGCTGTGCTACATGCGTGATATGCATGCAGCTGTACTGACGCACCTGGGACCAGTACAGCAGGGCACAGTGGTTGGGATATGCCTTTGCCTTTAAGATCTAGCTCCCCATAGCCACAGCACTGTGTGACTTCCACACTCAATATTAAACTGGTCTTTGAAGTCATTGAATTGTTGGGGATTTGTCGCCTTGCTATGTGGCCACATGCCGGATGTATGGCTTGAGTCTATATTTCCTTTATTGGGCCATACATTGCACGCATGCTGTTGCCCCTTCTATAGTCCCTCTAAATTAAAACATGCACACATGCAGAGTTAGGTGCACTGCTTACCTCTCTAATAGCTTGCAGGCTTAATGGACCCCATAATGATCTGTATCTGAATCCAAATTAACCACAGTTTCTCCTAATAAATAGAATGCACTTGCGATAGAAAATTCGAGCCAGATTTATAAAAAGAATCTGTACATCTCATCCAACTCATTGCAGGACGAAATGTGGAGAAATTTGTGGCAAACACATTCAGAGATTTTTTCAGATTATTCAATTGTCTAGAAAGTATGAAAGTTAATATGAAATTATTAAAATTATATTGGCCGCCTAACGTAATGTTAATCCTATTTATAACTGAAAATACAGTGAAATTTTGCCAAAACAGAGATATTCTATCAAATGTATAAAGATCATATGTATTTTAATGATATTTAATAAAATGTTATTTAAAGAGGCAGCGAAACAGGTGCAGTGTGTTTTTCTTTTCTAATTACAATCTTTCAACCAGGTGCATGGCTGACTGACAGACAGACATAGATAGATAGATAGATAGATAGATAGATAGATAGATAGATAGATAGATAGATAGATAGATAGATAGATAGATAGATAGATAGATAGATAGATAGATAGATAGATAGATATTCAGTTGCAGCATTAGGATGATGATAAACGGCTCATGTCTCTTTTCTTGCGTCCATCAACACTCCATCAGAAGCACAGCAAGCGAGAAGTCGTTGTGTATTATTGAATTCTGACGTTTCCCCTAGACGACCAATCAAATGTGAGCGGCGCGCCACAATCTGAACTGTAAAAAAAGATCTGAACGGCCCCAATATTCAGCGCACGCGCCTACAGGCTACTCGGCTACTTTGATTAGAACGGGAGCGTAGCGTCCAGTGTGTGACGAAAATTCAATGGAATGATTTGATTGGTCAAGGCTGGGTCTAGACAATCGGAGGCGGGGAAACTGAAGAGTCGTTACAGCCCACTTTAAAAACCCGTCAAAACCGACTCACGGGCTCCAAGTCAATGAGAATAACGGCAGTAATTCATACCGGACGGTCCTCCCATCCCCGTCCTCAAGTTTTGTGGTGTTATATGTTTTATCTGATGTAACCTACGGGGAGAGCTTCATCTGAAGGACATTTCTCAATAATCTGCCATCACAGAAAATCTGTCCGGTAAGACTGAACGTTTTTAATATTGTGATATTCATCATACAATAGGCTACATCTCTCATAGACACGACACATGGTGTCGTTTTCCATATTTTTTGTCCGTTGTGACCCACATTTTAGTCGTAGTCTTTTAACAATGACATTACTGTTCCTCACTGGATATAATGTAAAACTATTGCCCCTGTGACCGATGAACACCTTGATGTTTTTCTAAATATAATAATTTGTCATGTCCGTTAATTCTTTGTGTGGGTTATTTGAATATCAGTGTGTAAATACTTTATGTCGCCTAGAAACAGCAGAAACTTTCCTGTCTGGTAATGGCTGTCTCAAATCCTGGTGCTGTGCCCACCAAGACAGCATTTTGGGCATCCTATATGTGCGCGTGCAGATGTCAAAACTGAATCATAATTAGGTGAACTTAGCGAGTGCTTAAAGAGGAAGGCGTCTGTGAAGCCCAAATACTCCACGCACCCATGTAACCAAAAAGATGTTGTTTAGTTAGGAAGCCCACTACGGTTTAAGACACAACCTATGGCAAATCATGATGTCAAGGTGTAACTGTCTGCTTGTTGAAAGAAAGAAAGAAAGAAAGAAAGAAAGAAAGAAAGAAAGAAAGAAAGAAAGAAAGAAAGAAGAAAGAAAGAAAGAAAAAGTCTCATTAAAAGGCTGATATTTTTGGGGGGCAAATTTTTGTTTTGTTTGGTAAAATCTTATATTTATATATATACACAGACAAACACATATTTTTGTGTCAAGGACAGTAGATTGTTAAAAATCAGACTTTTTTGGAATTTTTATGAAAACCCACTTTTTTCAGCTCAAATAGAAAATTGATGTTCCTGACTTAAAATATTATATTATATTATGTTATTATTCAAGGTGCAAGGAAATTTCTTACTTTACACCACGTTTTTTTTTTTTTACACGAGTTATATTTTTTAGATAATAGTATAAAAAAAAATTGGACACAAAGATTAGGCTACCTTTCTAAGAACTAGTTGCCTGCTGTGTGTGTGTTTATAACTTGCATTTCATCAGGGTTTTTTAGGCTTCATGTTAAGACTTAAATGTTACGGCTTCAGGTTATCGGAATATGATTAGTACTTGTGTTCCTGTGTGCACCTGTGCCTTAGTGAAGCATCAGCCCAGAGCGTCTGGGTAACAGATGAGACCCAGCAGAATTGACCTAGGTGAAGCTGAGATATTCAGTATCATGAGTTCACTCTATAGAGCACGTCAGGTGGTTGAGGTGGCAGATTAAAGCACAGAAGGTGCTGTGCTCTAACCAGTGATTAGGTGAGGAAGAGTGAAAGCACGATTTCCCTGTCTCTCTTTCTCTTCCTTTCTTTTTAAGTCTATCCAGGGGTTGTTAGACAGAGCATAATAATCACATCGTGACTTCAAAAGAATTGATTTCTCTCTAATCCTCTCACTTTTAACCGTACATCCTCTTAGATGTCTCAGGCTTGTTCACCTTGTGTCCCATGTTATCTAAAGTGGCATTTCACAGGTCAAAATAACAGGTGAATACATGAAATATAATACTTATGTGCACATTGATATTACTCTTATTATTATTTTATGTCCTTTGAAATTCACTGAAATCTCATTGGGACATGCCCTTAGGACATTTGACAAACTAATTAAGTTTAGAGTTGTTTAAAGGGTGGTTCAATAGAAAATGCCTCAACAAAGGTTATTTATTCTTATCCTAAGGCATTTTTGGATGGCTATTTTTTATTTGATTCAGAATTCAATTTCAGTGTGATGTTCAGTCACACAGGATGGGTGGCCGATCTGAACTATGTTAGCTTTAGTAGATTAGTCTGATGTTTGTCTGTTTGTAATATCAGTGCAGCTGGTTTTTAATTCCTCATAAATGAAAAGCAAACATGAATTAGCCTATTTTCTTAATATGCATGAAATGTGAATTATACAAGAGAGTTTGAATCTGTAAAGAAGCATAGCTTCATGACTGAAGGTGACTTTGTTCTTTTTTTCATTTATTGATAGACATCATTTTGGGCCTATCATTTATTTGAAACTTACAGAACTCTTTATGTGTGTTAAAAATGAATGCATGTGCGCTGTTCCTGTAATTGCTGGATTGAATAACACAAGCCAAAGAAAAATAGAGGACGGTATTTATCACAGATATAGCGCAGCTGGTCCGCTATGGTTCTGTTGAAAGCACTTCACATCCCAAGCAGATCGTGTGTGTTGATGTGACAGCTCTCAGTAGGGTCAATTGTGAGCTTGAAGTGGGATGAAAACAAAGAAAGGACCTCCATTACTACAGTATAAGACGTCTATTATATGAAGCCCCACTTATGGATATTTATGTTTTGTTTCACACTGAATTAATATGAACATTTGTTGTAAGTAAGATGTGCGTCACTGAGGTTTTTTAATTAGTGGTTGTAAATTATTGAGTAGGGAAGACCGGGCGTGAAGTGACACGTGGTGAGTTGTAACACAATTTGTTTAACCATTAGATATGTGCTACACGGTGACACCACTATCACACTTGACCACTGACCAACACCATCCCGAAGTAGCAGAAGTGGTTAAACTCTTCATTTGTAAAATGATGTGCAGGACAAAAAAAAAGGGTTATGGTTAAAATTGTGAATTAAAATAGCTTCTTTATGATTAATATTTTGAATTAAAATGTTTGGTGGATGGCATAACAATTATTTTGAACAAGCAAATTCTTGAATACCACTATAAATTCATGCACAAAATGTAAAATGTGCGTGGGGTAAGTTTTAACAAAAGCCCTTGACTCTGATTTACACAGTTTATGGATAAGTAATGTAGTAGATTCCAGACAAAAACAGACAAATATAGAAAGTTTGATACACAAAAACACACAGTTACACATTTAAAACAAAATTAAAATAAATAAATAAAATAAAATAACAAAATGTGTGCACTCCCTGGCCTTTACTTTAAAATTTCTTACTGGTGTATTTTGTGTAATGGTTCAGTTTGCATGAATCTGATTAAATGTGTTGGCAAAGCTCTCGTCTGTGTCATATTGTACATGTAATTTGTCCAATTTTATGTTTTATCTCCATCTTTGGCAGTTGTGTTTCAGCATTGCTTGCAAACTGGCCACTGAGGCTTGCTTGTAGATCAGTATCGCCACTTTAGTGTTGGCAGAGCAGCATTGTCATCCAGTGGCAGTTTTTGGAGTCTAGCCATCTCATTAGCTGGATTACTGGTGTTAATGCATTGATACTGAGTACATGATTCAGATTTGAATCTTCTGGCCATGTTCAAAATAGCTGCTATGTATAGTTTTGGCATCAAGTTGCATGTGTAGTAATGCTTTCGAACACTAGGGATGGGTATCGTTTGAATTTTAGCGATTCCGATTCTGCTTATCGATTCTGATTCTTATCGATTCCAAGTTTCGATTACAATAAGGTAAAAAAAAGGTCAAACATTTAGATATCAAACATATTTATTCTGTGTCTTTTTGCAAAACATTTAGCAAAGTCCATAGATATCGCCATCAGTTCATACGGCCTTTAAAACTTTCTCCGACAAGTAGATGCAATGAGACCTGTTTTCCTGTTTGTTCATGTGACGTTCGGCATAAAGCCTATATTACACGTGTTTTCTTTTTCAACTGTTCACGTTCACAATTTTGTGTGTATTTGTCCGCTCAAGTGCAAGAAGACGTGAAAGAGAACTCAATTCAGTATTTGCCCACTATATGTGTGCGCAGCGCAGAGAACAGCGTGCTGTTTGTCTATATTAATTACTTAAAAGGATGTAATAAATCTAACAAGTTCAGAGTTATGTACTGTAAATATCAGAAAGAGATTGATAAGAGAACAACAGCGTGATGTCAAATGTCGTGTAATAGGCCTACACTGTTTCTGTCAGACTTCGCAGCATTTCAACGATAGAATGAGGATGTTTGTTGAAGAGAAAAGACAGTGAAAATGTGTCATACAATACACCGAAAGGAAAATATAAATTAAAAAAGTATAAATGACAGAAATTTTATTTTTCGTAAACTATCCCTTCAACCCTATAACGTTTACTCTATCATAGATGATATACGCAAAAATCTAAGGTCTCTAAATGATCAGGATGATCAAAACTTTGCTGAAAAACCTGTTGTACACAATCTACTATCATTCCTTCTGACGTCTGATTAACACAGTTTATACTATTTTAGCAAGTAAAATGCCTTTCACTATCATTTCAGGTCTTGTACACGTGTCTTTTTGCTGTGAAATTTTTACTGATTTTTATTAAGTAAATGTAATCTTTTACATTGTTAGTAATATTTCAAGATTAACAGACACACTGGACTGCAGCCACTTAGTTTACTTAATTATATCCATCCATACATAATTTGTTTTTAAAGAAAGATCATGTTCAAATGTGAGTATTAAATATGATACATCAGGCTTTTGAAGAACATTTATTTGTACATCTCTTAGTCATCATTGCATTGAATATCATATGTTTTGCTCACACAATAAAAAGCTTTACCCAAAAAAGCATTAAAATATAATTTTACTAAGACATTATTGGGAGATATTGTAACGTGCTCGGTTGTAGCAATGACTCGGAAGACGAAGGAATATAAAGGAACACACTTTAATGAAAATTCACAGGAAACATGTAGCCTAGAGAGCAACCAAACATCAATGAACATAGACCGACAGCCAGTAGAAGGAAACTGGTACGTTTAAACGTCAATGATATGCTTAAAACGTGAAGTGTTTCCTTAGAGTTTTCCACGTACAGACGACACCTTTGTCAAAACGTTCCCCTTTCACACGGATCCGCGAAAACGACTAAAAACGCTGTATTCTGCTGCCTGCCAGGCCATTAGATGGCGATGAAACATATACTGAACACATAATACGCATGTGCATGACGTCATCATCTTCAGAGATTCTGTTTTTGTTGTTTACACAGAGACCGCTCTCAAAAACTTGCACTTTGAAACCCGTTTTCAAAACTTTGCGTTT